ATTTGATTCATTGCACATTATAGATCTTTTGGCATTCTGTGTTAGACAAATAAACATAGACTTAATTTGATGGAAAGAGAGTTACGTGTAGAGATGCTACATATGACCAAGTTTGACTGGTGGCATAAGGAACAATACTTTGCCAACTTCAGGAAGAATTAAGAACCCTTGGATATTAATTCAGAGACATGACAGGGCTAGTATGGCATGTTACTGAGAAATGTGGTTGATCAAATTGATGGGAAAATATGATACAAACATCAACTGCTCCTTTGTAGTTTTCATTTTGATGCTCTGTTAATGCTTGGTTCATGTTTAGAATTGTACAGCCTGCTTTTGAAAGACATAGCATGTATTCTTCTCTCTATAATATTGTTAGATAAACAACAAATTTATATTGACCTCTACTATAGATCTGGTAGTGTAGTGGTTGCGAATCGGGCTGCTAACCTCAAGGTAGGCAGTTCGAAACTACCAGCCATTCCGTGGGAGAAAGATGAGGCTTTCTGTTTCTGTAAAGGTTCACAGCCTCAGAAACGCTGTGCAGGGTCACTATGAGTCAGAACCGACTCCGCGGTACTTAACAACAACAACTATAGATCTGGCTTTGTTATGATACATGCTGGGATGCTCTGTAAGTTTGGTGTGCTTATTATTATTGTTTATAGGCCTGAGCATACATTTCAAATCCTACAAGGATGTTTTCACTTGTAACATGACAATCACTTCATTTCTGTGCCTTTATTGAACATATGCTTAAGATTAATTTTGTTGCGAGCTGGTAAAAATTGGATTGCCTAGAATAAGTTGGTTTCCATGTTACTATTTCAGAGGTTGTAAAGTACCATCACATTTGTATTTTTGCTGAAATTATGTATATCTTATGATTGATGTTTCAATTTCTGAAATTACTGGCTTTCCTGTACTTTTTCTAATATATGAAAATACCTTAAAAAACAAAACAAAACACAAGTAAACATATTCCTGGTAATCTCTACTTTCAGCCAAGATCCATCTGATATCAGAAATGATAATCTTTGTTCTATGTCCTTTTGTAATTCTGGCTTGAATTTCTGGCAGACCCCTGGTAATGCAGTACTGCAATTGCTTTTGAACTACCTCTGGCAAAATTTCTTTTTATGTGATATTAATAATACTGTTAAATGATTTAACACTTCTTTGGACCATCTTTCTTTGAAATGGGTGCAAATAATGAATTTTTCCCAATCAGTTGGCCAGGTAACAGTCTTCTAAAATTTTCAGCATAGACAAGTGAAAACACCTCCATCAGTTTGTTGAAATATCTCTATTTGTATTCCATCAGAGCCTGATTTTTCATCAATTCCTTCAGTGCAGCTTGGGCTTCTTCTTTCAGTAGAAGTTCATGATTGTGAACTACCTCTTGAAATGGCTGAGCATCGACCATTTCTTTTTGGTACCATGACTCTGTATATTCCTTTCATCCTCTTTTGATGCTTTCTACATCATTCAATATTTTGCCCATAGAATCCTTTAATATTGTAAGCCAAGGTTTGAATTTTGACTTCAGTTCTTTTAGCATGAGAAATGCAGAATGTATTCTCTTCCCTTTTGGCTTTCTAACTTCAGGTCTTTGCACATTTCATTACAATACTTGACTTTGTTTACTTGAACTGTCCTTTGAAATTTTCTGTTCAGCTCTTCTTACTTCCTCATGTCTTCCATTCAGATTAGCTCTCTATGCTCACAAACAAGTTTCAAATCCTCTCTGACATCCATTTTGGTCTTTTCCTTATTTCCTGTATTTTAAATGACCTTTTGCTTTCTTCCTGTATGATGTTCTTGATATCAACCCCAAACTCTTTTGATCTTCCATCATTAGTATCTATTGCATCAAACCTATTCATGAGATAGTCTCTAAATCCAGGTGGTCATATTTTGGCTCTCATGGACTTTAAAATTTTCTTCACCTTCAGCCTAAACTTGCATATAAGCAACTGATGGTTTGTTCCACTGCTGACCCCTGGCCTTTGTTTGGCCAATGCTACTGAGCTTCTTCATCATCTCTTCCTACAGATGTAATCCATTTCATCTGGTGAGAAGTACACGTGTATAGTTGCCTTTTATGTTGTTGATTAAAGGTTTTTAAAATGAATTATTCACTGGTCTTGCAAAACTCTATCATGTGATCTCCAGCATTATTGCTAACACCAAGGCCATATTTTACAACCACCAATCCTTCCTTTTTGTTTCCAAAAAGAAAACGAATATACCTTCACAGCAAAACAAAAAAGAGGGAAATTAGAAGTATTTAGTAAACATTAGCACAACAGATAATTACACTCAATGTAAATGGATTTAATGTACCAGTCAGGTGATAGAGAGAGCAGAATGGATTAGGAAACAGGATCCTTCAATATGCTGTCTACAAAAGACACATCAGAAAGATGGAGACAGCCTAAATGCCCATCAACAGAAGAATTTTTAAACAACTTTGGTATATACACACAATGGAATACTATACTACAGTGTTGAAGAATAATGATAAGTCTGCAAAACACCTCACAGCATGGATGAACCTGGGGGATATTACACTAAGTGAAATTAGTCAATCACAAAAAGGCAAATATTGTATGAGAACACTGTTACTGGTAGGGGGTTGGTGGTGGAAATTATTCATGGGTTAGAGGGAAGACACAGGTTAACATGGGTGACAGGGCAGGCAATGTATAAAAGAGGGAGGTTGGCAAAGGAAGGATGAAGGTAGCCGGAGACACAGGATGTAAGAGTTAAAGTGAACAGAGGTAAATACTGTTAACTGATGGTATATGGAGGGGGTTATGATCATGACGATGAAGCAAAGTATATTATTTGTTGAACGTAAAACAGATGATCTGCTCTGTCAACCTTCGCTCAATTCACAATAAAAAGTTAAAATAAAATAAAATAAAATAATGTGCAGAGATGAATTCTGGAGTCCTGCTGTGGTGCTGTGGGTTAATGCACTGAACTACAAAGTCGGTTTGAACTAAAAGGTCGGTGGTTCAAGCTCACCAGCTGCTCCTCGGAAACCCTATACAGGGTCACTATGGGTCGTAACCAACACAACAGCACTTAACAACAAGAATTTTGAGTTTTGCTATATTTCATTACTTCTTGCTCCTTGAGTTTGCTTTGCTGTTTTTCAAATTCAGTTTGTCACGTCAGATTATTGATTTGTCATTTCATTTTTCCTTTTTAACCAAGGAGCTTATACTGTAAATTTCCCTCTGAGCACTGCTTTTACTGTGTCCCACAAGCTTTGAACCACAAGGTCAGCAGTTCAAGCTTACCAGTCATTCCTTGGAAACCCTATGCAGGGTCAGTATGGTTCAGAACCGACTTGATGGCACTTAACAACAATAGAGAAGAATTAGGTTTACCAGAAATCATAGATATCTGTAACAGCTTCCTTCATGGGACATATATTAAACTTCTGTAATATTCAAATACATTCCAGGTTTTACCTATAATCTTCATACTACCAAAATAACACAAAAGTGAAAAATTTTGTAAGAGTCCAAGAAAGGAAACGACCCTTAATCTTGCTCTTCATTTTCAATGCCTCCAAAATATACAATATTAGTTTTAAGGTACACTTTGGTTATTAATGAATTCAAATTCATTTTGTCCATATGCAAATGTAACAGCATAAACCTGGTAACATATGCAATAACAAAACCAATAAAATGAACTTAACTTCCTTTCTCTGAGACTACTTTTTAATGAAAGTAACATTTTATATTTACTGTTCTATTATCACAAGGTCACTTACAATAAATTGCTTTATAAGAATTAATTTTAGCCTCAGCCCACCCGATGCCATCTAGTTGATTCCAACTCATAGGGACCCAAAAAGGGCAGAATAGAACTGCTCCTCAGAGTTTCTGAGCCTTGGTTTGAACTGCTGATCTTGCACTTAGGATCCCACTATACCCTCAGGGCTCCATTTTAGTCTCAAAGGGTCTCCTAAAAACAATTTTAGCAAACGACTCAAACATAAAACATATTAGAGTCGTTTTCTAAAATTGGCATTACCTTAAGAAATTAATAGACTTAGAAATCCTACTCATAGGATTATTGATTTATTCCTAACCATTTATTGTGGGACTAGATATGGCAGCAAACCTCATTATAGTGATGTTGAATGAGTGCATACACAAAGGATATATAGAGAGTAATTTGTATACAGGAATTTGGATTAACAAGGACTTGTGAATGAAACATACTAGAGTCTATAATTCCATTTTTTTTCATTTACGTTTTTATTGTGAATTATGATAGTTTACATGGGAGAACATTAGCTTTACATTCATCCTACTGTATATCGTTTCACTGCAATAATTACAATCCCCTGCATGCATCATCAAACAACCAAAGGGCACACCCCGCAAGCCTGCTTCCCGGGCCATCAGCACACAGACCCTTACCTTCCCTAAGTCCAGTGTCCCCAGCCACTCCATCTCTCCACATCATCATATCTGTCTTCATCTCTGGCATCACTGTTTCTCTGGGTAGGGTCCCACACTCCACTCTTCTCCCCTGATAGTTCCAGGGATCTCCACTCCTGGACTGCAAAGTCAACCACACCCCTCCTTTTGTTACAAAACGTCTACCTTTACTATAATTCCATTTTTGTTTTTCTTTCTTTCCTGTCTTTTAAATGAGCTTTTGCTTTCTTCTTGAACGATGTTCTTGATATCATCCCAAACTCTTCTGGTCTTTCATCATTAGTGTCTATTGCATCAAATCTAGTCAATGTGATGGTCTCTAGAAATAGGTGGGATATACTCAAGGTCATATTTTGGCTCTTGTGGACTTTTTATATTTTCTTCATCTTCAGCTTGAACTTGCTTGTAAGCAATTCCATTTTCAGTTTGGAGAAACTACAAAGATAGGTTACCAGGCACAGCCATAGGATGCTATTCTAACCATTTCCACCCCCAAGTTACTCTTTAACGATTATAAGATTGAACATATACCTCTTGAAATCCAGCTTGATGCCTTTATTGCTTTTCACAACTTCAGCCAGCCACTCTTTGAGCGTATTATCACTGCTTGTTTCAGGAGGATGGGCCATAATCGGTTGGCTATGTTCTGATCCATCATCAGGAAGAAGAATGTCAGCCTCTATCATGTGAGCAGTACCTGTCCAAACAACAGAACTTAAGTTAACACTAACAAAGCAAGAGGCAGAATGACCGTGGATGCCTTTAAGGTTTTTAGGAAGATAAAAGGAAGGAAAGAAAAGAAACATTTACTAACTAGTCTGTACCAGGCACCATGCTGCAGCGTATCTGTTGTCTCTACTTTGTGCTGATCAGCACAAAGGGGCTGAGAAGTTAAACAGCTTCCCCTCGAGGTTTGACTTAACTGTTAAATGTCTTCCCAGCATTTAACAAAGTATGCACAGAAAAGGGAATAATAATAATATTTGTTTAAGTCTTCTGGGAATAAAATACTTTATCTACTCACCCTTCAAATAATAAACGGCTGATATTACTGCCTAACAGAATGAGTCTACATTTCCCCTCCTATCATTCAAGGCTGGCTCATCATTACATAGATATTCAAACTGGTCTATAACTGATACATTCACCCCCTTTCTGTTGGCCCAGGCTTTTTTATTCCTCCTTCCTTGAAGCTGCTCCTCGGAAACCCTGTACAGGGTCGCTAATGGGTCGGAATTAACTCGACGGCACTTAACAACAACAACAACCTTGAAGGATGCCATCCTTGTCTCCAATCTAAAGTATTCACATTCTTCAAAGTACAGCTCTTTCAGAACTATTTCATTCAATTTTTCTAAATTTTTATTAAAACTTATAGTCTACGACACACAGCAGTGCTGGTCCAGACTGTCTCTTTAGTTCAATTGGTATCTTTTGCTAAGAGTAGGGACAGATTTCTCTAAAGTCCTAACAAGAAGAGACAAAAATTACAGTAAACATTTATTACCTATTCATGGACTGACTTCTATTAATTATTTAGTAAAGTTTTCTGAATGTTGTTGGTAGTGTTGTCGAGTCGGTTCTGACTCATAGCAAACCTGTATAGAATTTCCAAGGAGTGGCTGGTGGGTTTGAATGGATAACCTTACAACTAGCAGTCCAGTGCTTATCTTATATGCTTCTGAATAGATTGTAACAATTAGAGCTCTAGACTAACACGTTTCCTTATGATGTTCCTTTAGCATCCTTTTTAATTATTACAAATTAATTTTAATTAATATATTAATTTTAAAAGAAAAAAAATCTAGTGAATATTAAATTCTATTTTACCCCAAATTTACCTCCATTGTGCTTTATAGCCATCTCTTAGTCTGTCATCAGTAAAAACTATTCTGTTTTGTTTTTTATGTATACCTATTTATGTATACCTGGGCAAATCTGCTGCACAGGAACTTTTTAAAGTATTGAAGAGCAGAGATGTCAGCTTGAGGACT